AATACTCTCTTTTTTGAATAGATTTTCTAATGTATATATTATTTTTATTTTTAGTATCAAGTAAACGTTATGGACAAAGAAAAAACAACTACAGTTTTGCTTTGCTATTTTTACTGGTTGTTTCTCACTGTTTCCACAGTTAATAGCATCATTTCCTTGAAGCGGCCTTAAATTAAGAAGAACTGGCTGCATTTAAGGTTCTCAAAAACCCAGCTTTTCTAAAATACCTCTCTCAACTGGAAATGCCATTTACCCGTCCACAGGATAAGAATGCTTAGCTTACTTGGTCTTTTTATAATCGGAGTAAAACCTTGCTGATGTATATGTAGCATATTTGATCCAAATAGATCTACTGACCAAAAATACATCACGTGATAAGTCAAAAATCAAAGGATTGCAATCGAAAATGCTAGGAGGGGATCCAGGAAGTTATGAAAAAGCGGAAGGGGGGGGGGGGGGTGAACAGGGGGAGTAAACTTTTCCCAAGATTAGAACTGGTTTCCATCACCTTTCGCCGGCCTTTGACGAGTCTCCCTAAAAAACAACATCAGAAGCACATTTGGACAAGCCCATGATATGCTAACATATTAAGGCAAAGTATTCGCAGGCCAAGTTTCCAATAGATACCAGATGAATGCTTTATTCGATCCTTTGCAATTTCGGCATGTCAAGTACTAAAAATCTGTTGTGCTGAAAAAGGAGTTGGAGTAGACCCACTAAAGAGATTCTGGTTCTTTACAATGTTTGCTTTAAGAAATTTTCCGGCGAGCAAACAAGTCACTTTCAAAATGAATCCAGAAACGCAATCTTAAAAATTATTGTATCGCGATATAACGAATAAATGTCAACATGTGATAAAAGATGAATGCCAAACAGACCAAAAAGGATAAAATTTGTGCGTACAGTGGAGGGGGGGGGGGAACAGTTTTGTTTGCCTGTTCTTGACTTTCAAATGCCGCAGGTTCGGGAATACTGGGTTTTGTAAATTAATTATTAACTATACCTCGATATAACGAACATTTTGGTTGTTTTTTCGAAAATTCGTTAAATCGAGTTGTTCAATTTTACGAACTCTGGATATAACGAACAAATTTCCCCAGTACTACGCTGAATAGCTTTCGACAATCTTTGACGTAAGATATCGCGTGACCGTTACCAAGTGCCTCATTGCCAGACGCTGACGTCATGACAGAGTAGCCGCACCCTACGTCCGTCCACTCGATCGCCCCACATCTCAAGAAGCAAAGATCTTACTTCCAAGCCCTCAAACACAGGTTTGTTTCAAACATGAATTCTCTAGTTTGGATTGAAGACATTCACAGCTAACTATGTGGTGTGTAGCTTTTGTAAAGAGAGTCAATTTCGTATGTGTAAACTAACATATTGTTTCCATACACAGTGATCATGCTCGCATTGCAGATCAGTTCATGCCGCTTGGTACAAGTTAAGCTATATAGTATAACTTCCACCCAGCATGAACAGAAATGATCCGTCGTACAATGAGAGTTTGATCACTGCGATGGAAGGGAAATGTCTTGAAATGCCGGACAATCCAGTTCAAACAATCATTGCAGGTTTCGCTTCGCTGTATCCTTGTGGATACAGGTTTGATTTTTCTTCTTTCAAAGTTCTTAGTTTTAACCTTTCGTTAAGTAATTGTATTTCTAGCATGATTCCAAAAGCCTCCAAAATAACCTGTCATCACAAAGTCAACACTTCTTTATTTACCATGCCGCTAACTACAAAACTGTGCATGTTATCTTTCATCATTGGATACCCTGCGAACAGTCTGCTTCGAGCTTCCTAGAAACTCTATCACTTTGGGCGAATGCAGCTACCTAACAAGGCACCCTCCTGGTTGCTTTAGAGACCGTTTAATGTTGTTTACGAGGTCAAAAAATGCTTTTAGTGATAAATTTTGAGGGTAGAAGTACCTTTTACAGTAAATGACTTTGCCTTCAAACTAACCGCGGAAATCAACGAAAGAAAACATCAGTTAATGCTTTACGTCCTACTTTGAGTTGTAGCAGCTTTGTTGGGCATAAAAATATATCCTCTCATTGCCATGAAATGAGTTTACAGTGGTTTTTACTGTCAATAGCCTGGTTATTTTCCTGAAATATACCTTTGAATTCGTGTTTAATACGGCTTGATCAGCTTCAAAAGGCATTTGCCGATGGAATTGCCATTGAAAAGACCTTAAATTAAAGACTTCTCACTAGACTTACATAATCATCCTTAGTAGTGTAGTGGTAAGGAGAAGTTGTGTGAAGCTGAAGATGCCGGGTTCAAATCCTTCTTAGCACCCTTTCTCTCTTTCTTTTTGTTTTGTTTGCTTAGTTGTTTTGTGTTTTTCTTTTAATATATATGTTGTGGTTCAATGTTCTCCTTGGTTTAAATTTTATTTCCTTTTGTTTTAAACTCATTATCACACATTACCATACCCCAAAACAAAGGGAAATAAAATTCAAACCAAGGATAAAATTGAACGTCAACATATATATTTTCTTTTCCCTGCTGTCTTCTGTCCCTTTCTTTCTACTTCTGACCCTTAACCTCTGCTTTGTGCGGCTCTGCGATTGACATATTCCTAGTTTTTAATTTATTTATTATAAATCTAGGAAAACCTTTAAAGTACATGTATATTTACAAATAAATTTCATACAGTGCCCAATTAAAAATGAACCAGAATTTAGAAGTGATGGATGCGTGTGAAATATCAAAAGCATTGCAACTTGGATTTCGTTAGCCTCCTGATCGTATTTTGAATTAATGTTATGAATGAGCAAGCACAAAAGAATAGACAGAGAAATTATTTCTTAAATATTTATATTCAAAACCTGTCAGTTTCATAATAAAACACCGTTAAAAGCACATCGCGAAACACTTACTGGATTGTGGATCCGTTCACGCAAATAAAATCGGCTGAGCACATGGTTAAATCCAAAGCAAAACGCATATCAAATCAGGGTGCATCTTCTAATTTTTCCATAAAACATGACTAGCGCTTCGCCGCAGTTTATTAAACATTGAATCAATAATTTTCTCAAAATCACTGCATGAAATCGAAGTGGCCGCCATCTGTTTTTTTATGGAGTATGGGTTAGAATACAATACATATGCGTGCGGGATAAACAGTAAATCAAAGGACTTTGACGATGTTGGCAGCGTCACTTCCTCTTTCCCAACTTTTCACGGAAAGATCAAAATGATCAACTCTGCTAGCAGGGTAATCATTGGTCAGTGGAACATTAAAATCAGCAAAGAATCGAACTGCCATTTCACGCCATTTTCCTCATTTTGATGTAGTGATTTACATTAGTTTTGTATGGAAAAAAATCAGCCCTTGATACTTGGAAAATAGTTGCGAGAGCAATTATTATTTAAACTTGTGAAAAGGTGCCAAATCCAGATTGTGGTCATTAATTTTGTGTGATCATGACTCGTGATGTTTTAAAGATTTTAAAGAGAAAGTCTTTTTTAACCAGAATTTTGCAAAATTTTGTCTTAACAGAACCCGGCATGGTAATGTCCCACCTCTCAGATGACTATTTTTCACATCAACTGAGTGGGAACTTGGACCATTCTGTAGCTCATTGATTTCTTAGTAAAGTTTGTAGTGAATTCAGGTGATTTTTATAGAAGGTAAGTGAACCTGATTGGAGTTTTTCATGAAGGTTAAAATAAAAGATGTTCAGGGCCTTGGTTAACATATAACATGTGCTGTTTGTCTGGCTATCCATGACATCAATGTACATCGTAGCTGATTAATGAAGTACATTCTTTCTTCCAGATAGACTATTTTTTGCATGCATGCATGTAATCATGAAGTGACATCAACGTTAGCTGGGAAATTTAAGGTTAGTTTCCTTTGCAGCTGTTTTTAGGGTTGTCACACAAAGCTAAGCTTATTAAGTTTACTTAAGTGTAACTTTTGATAAGCTTACTTTCGTGAAAGCATTCTTAGTTTTAGCAGTATAGAGTATCATGTATTACTGACACTTAAGTTCATGTAAGTATGCTTGTACACACTAATCTATTGATTTCTCAATTGCCTAATTCATACTAAGTTCATATTACATGTATATTATTGCATACATGTATTTCAAGAAGACTATATAAGGAATTCTATGATAAGTGATTTAAGCCTCCAAATTGACTTGCTGTCTAATATGCTGTTTTTCAGTTTGAAGTTCAGTACGTTAATTTAAAATATCTCGCCATCTCCTTTATGTCACTGAATATATTCAAACAAAATTGACTGAAATTAAAATACCCGGTTTATCTATATAAGGTAAAATTTCAGTGTTTGATTGGGGAAGGGAGGTCAGTTTTTGTACATATATTATTATCAGGAGGTTTAGAAACCAAGTGTCTAAGCAATTGTGATTCTGCTCTAATAATATTATTTATACAATAAGATACAATGCATTAACTCTGATTGGCTAAGAGGCGTGTTTGCATTAGAGTATGTAAGGTGAGGGTAAATGGCAGAATAATAATATTTTATTTTGCGGGATGGAATGTGGCATGACTCGCAGAATAGCATAATTATTCAAAAATTATGTAACATATATATGTACAGAATGACTCAAAGTAATTGGTATGTAAATAGACAGTTAATCATGACTATAATAAAATTCCCAAATGGCTATCAGCTGTCAATTTAAGTGGTAATAGAACAGTGTAACAAGACCATACGCATCATGCATAAGTGGGACAGTGTGTGCCACTACACGCGAGCACTTAAATGCTTTTTTTCACTTTGAGGAAAAAACTTTCAGAACAAACACAATTTTTTTTAATCAAAAAGGCATCATAGCATTTTCATTTTTTTACAAATAGATTACTACAATACCATGCATTGCTTAACAGGAGATCACTTGTGTTATTTGAGGATTTATGCTTAGAATATAACCTTACCATGAGAGTATTAAAATTTAAGTGTTTGCATGAAAAGATTTTAAGTGCATGATATCTTTCATCAGTTTTGTAGACCAGCTTCAAACTACCAAGATACTGGAGATGCTACCCTGTGATATCACAAGATTTTAAATACCATGAGTAAATCATACTTGCTCCTGAAAGTAAGTTTCTCAGCTCTTTGTGGCCTCTTTTCTACACCTGTTGGCACTCTTGAGCTAATTTAATGTAGTTTCACTACTGAGATCATTACCTAGATTACTATTTCCTCTGATTCTCTAATACAGTGCTGTAGTCAAGGCTGTGCTCTAACAGCGCCCGGTCGTCTGAGGCAACTAACATTTAGCTTCGGGCAACTGAAAAAAGGTTCCCGGTCACCCGGCCGGGCGCTCTTGCTTCTGGTGCAGTCTTCAGTTAAGCAGGCAGAAAAATCTAACATACTAGTGTTGGCTTGTCGAGTCAGAGTTTACTAAACCCTACAGAAAATGTTTTTACGAGTGTTGTACGAAAGAAACAGGCACGTTTCGATGTTCAAAGGTTGTTCTGCATGATTTCACATGTAACATAATCCATCACTTTGAACGTGACAAGCAGCACAGATTTCAATTTGTACCGCTTCTTAAAATAGTTTTTTAAAAATTTTTCTTTCAGATAGAATGGTTCATTAGGTACAGTTTTTAGGAGAAGCTGTCAATGCTTTTCTGACAGACGTAAAGCGCGGCTGGTGACGCGGAGTAATTTATTTTTATGTAAATGGAAGTTGCTGTATTGACCAGTATGCAAATGTAATGTTTTTACAGTTTTTGGCTGCTATATCTTCTTGGCCAAAACATAACTTATGATTGTTTAAGATAAAGATTTATAAAAAGAAAAGATATGATCATTCTGATCGTTTTTATTGTTGTTTTACAAACAGGGCAGTTCCACGTTGTCTTGGCATTTTACGTATCGAAAACTAAATTCGCATGCATGCATATACTGAACAAGTCGGCGGCATTGCTCACGTATCTGGTTTTAAATCTGAATGACATGAAAACTTTGACAGTACTCCAGTTCAAGTGACAGGGATGATCAAATGGGGGCAAAAATCAAATCAAAACCCAAAAAAATCGCATGCCGATTTTCCGAGCCATAAAAATTTCCAGAGCAACTACACGGCCAGGATATGCAGGAAGTATCACGAATCTTCAGATTGTTTTGAATACCCGAAAAAATTCCTACTTAAATCGAGCTACTCCAAAAAATACATGCCAAAATTTTCCTACCCAAACAAAATCCTTCAATCAAAAATTTCAAACCCTACAAAATCCTTCGATCATTCCTGTCAACTGAAATCTGGAGTGTCCCCCCCTGGGTCATGGACCCAGGCACTTATAAACACTTCATACTGGCCTTTGTGAAGCAGACACCTCAATCTTCCAGGTGGACACTTTTCCTTGGTCACAGGATTGACTCTATAAATAAAGTAGCTTTGACATTAAGTAATTTATTGATTAGTTTTTTTTAATTGTTAAAAAGTTTTCCAATGTGGTGATCTTGTAAATTATATTTACACTGAATCCATCAGGAAAATAAGTCACTTTAATTTTCAGAGAACAAAAACCTTGTACCAGAATATAATTTAAAGAATATCACATTCTTTTTTACATTTTTTAAGGGCTAAAGATGTAATTAGTCATCTGTAGCCCCAGAAAATGAATGTCAAATTTCACAAAATTACATCTTACACATGAAATTTTCAGAATTTTACCTGTGTTTTCACAATTCTTGTGAAATTTGACTTTTAATTTCTCAGGCTGCCATGAAAAACTTTCTTTGGTGTTATTACTGATGACTAATTACTTCCTAAGGGCGTGGAAAATGTAAAAGAGAATGCAATATTCTTTAAATTATTCTGGTACAAGGTTTTTGTCCACTGAAAATTAAAATTACTCAATTTCCTGGTGGATATCCGTCTTTACACTGTTAGGGGGAATCTTTAACCGAGCCTCAATGGCACAGCATCAAGACCTTAAAAGAAAAGGAGGTGCTGATCCTGATCATCAAACAGCAAGAGAACATGATGCTCTGCCTCCTCCTCTAAGTATTAAAGTACCTAAAATAAGAGATCTTCAAAACAAGTCAAAACCATGGAGTGATGTCCAGCTTCCTGTTGACATTCTCTTGTTGACAGTGGAAGACTGTGAGTTCTTGGCTTGTTATAGATACTTGACAAATGCCTTTAAAAGTTATCATGTGAACCTTGGACATGTGTACTTTGGGACAATGGGTGAAAGTGGAGAGGAGTCACTGAAAGTTGCTTTGATGAGATGTTCTAAAGGTTCTTCTGGTCCAAGTGGTTCTTTAGTTACCATCAAAAATGCAGTGGTGCAAGTGAGACCCAAAGCTGTGTTTTCTGTTGGCTGCTGCACAGGTTTTAACCAGAAAGGCACCAACTTAGGAGATGTGGTTGTATCCTCTACACTAACAACTGATGAATTCACAACCCCTGTAAGAAGGAATATTGCCAACCTAATCAGATTTTCAACTGAAGGATGGAATCCACCATTAAAAGATCCAGCAGCTGGAGAACAAGTACAGGTACACCGTGACAGCAGCATATTGAGTGGCATTAATGAGCCAGCCATTGCCAAACAGCGCCGTAAGTCAGAGTCTCATATGATTGCTTCTGAAAGAGAAGGGGAAGGTAGGATTTTGTACAAATCACTGTTTTTATAGCGGAGTGTCCGTGCACGCAGCGTGCAGTGGAGCCCCATAGGTATCATGGGAAGGGATAGCAAATGGAAACCTATTGATGCCAGAAAATTTGGTTATGACGTCAGTGTACGCCTGAATGACCGTCCGTATGGACTCTGGGAGTAGGGGTAAAAAAACTCAGTAGGGTAGGGAAGTGAGTCCCAGACATGCACGTTGCGTTTCATTTTGGCGCAAAATTAACCATTTTAGGGGCAACGAACAGATTTGGACGAGAAAAAATCTAGATTTAAGTTTCTTGTGTCCAACTGACGACAACATTTTTGCAAATAAATTTGTTAAGCTTTTTATTGCTTTATGCTCCGTAACACTCCAGGAACAATCAAGTCTACCCCCTCCCCCCTTGGTCAAAATTTTGACAGTTGATTCATGAATGAAAACTTATGCAACATCTAGAAATTTGTTTGCTGACAGACTTGCCGACAACGGGAGCCTATTTTTCATTTCAGTTAACTTTTAAAATTATTGTTTTCTTGTCTGGATCTTACCATCACAAAATGGAATACAACTCAGCTGTCGAGTTTCTATTTCTGTTTTTGGGTTTTTGTCGAGGAAAGTGCTGCAAAGAGATTTATTGATGGCTGCCTTTGTGATAGTTCATGCGGAATCTTACAGCAGACTACAGGAAAAATCTTTTTAACATTTCAAAGTTTTAGTCTTCGTGTTCTTCCACCGGCTGCCAAGAAATGAAANCTTGGTCAAAACTTTGACAGTTGATTCATGAATGAAAACTTATGCAACATCTAGAAATTTGTTTGCTGACAGACTTACCGACAACAGGAGCCTATTTTTCATTTCAGTTAACTTTTAAAATTATTGTGTTCTTGTCTGGATCCTACCATCACAAAATGGAATACAACTCAGCTGTCGAGTTTCTATTTCTGTTTTTGGGTTTTTGTCGAGGAAAGTGCCGCAAAGAGATTTATTGATGGCTGCCTTTGTGATAGTTCATGCGGAATCTTACAGCAGACTACAGGAAAAATCTTTTTAACATTTCAAAGTTTTAGTCTTCGTGTTCTTCCACCGGCTGCCAAGAAATGAAATACAGCTGCTATCAAGATTCTTCTGTTATTCGAACCTGTTTTTTGTTTATTTGGTTTGGCTCAAGGAGAGCTTCGCTATGGGATTTCAATAAAAGTGAAAGTTGAGCATGCAGGATTTTACAGCAGAGTAGAGGAAAAGTTTTTTTACCTTACTTAATCGCTTTCAGAAGCTACATACAAGGTTAGGCCGAGTAATTATTACAGTTTTTGCCTCGTTTTAGTTTTGTAAAGTCAGGCGTAATATTATTATTTCATGTCATAACATGCAGTATTAAAGAATTGAAAAGATTTGCGACAGAGCTAGACTGACGATTTCAATGGCCTCACACAGGCTTAAATTAATTTTCTGGTTGCAAATGGAAAGAGAAAGGTTTTAGAGAATACCCAGTTGTAGTGGTTGCTGGTAAAAAATAACGATAACTAGTGAAAATCTTGCTTCGAAACTTGTTCCGTCTATTTTAAACGCCAAAAGCTGGCTAAAACAAATGATCAAACAAACACAGTACAAATAGTCCGGAAACATTTCACTCGGTCACTCTCAGACTTGCTGTCTGACAAAGATGTTGTTGTTGTACATCTATCGTTGAAGTTTTATTCATGTTTTGATTGTGAGGTATAATTTTGCGAGGTTTAATACGGCTTTTTTTTCTTTCGTGGACTGTCAGCTGGACTGTGTCTGAATGAAGCGTGAATGAAATGTCTGAAAATGGCTTTTAAGCTTAAAAGCATGGCGTGCAATTTGTGCCTGTGTTAATTGTTCCTTCTTGCCGAAAAGAGAGAACGTGTAAGATTTGTCAAATATTTTAATGACAGACTCGTGACTTTGCTGTAGTTTATGCCTTGCGCACATCTAGCCACATTATTAAAAACACACAACATGCAAAGGGCAGTTTGTGTAGGGGGAAATATTAAAAATTATAAGTTTATCAACCTTCTTGGGTCTTTTCGGACACAAAAAGTCTAACGGTTACTGGGTATCAGATACTAAAGGGTACATGTAGTTACACTTAACGATTTGTCAGTCCGATTTTGCAAAGAAAACACATTCTATAAACACAAAAATTGGCCTAATTTAACATTTGGGTAGCATCTTGTTGAGACGGAAAGATTGACGTATAAACATAAACTGTGAACTGGACGCAGCCAAAGAGTCTTGTGAATGACAACCAGGAAACAATAAATTTCATGGGCAATAAACTTCTGAAAAGGGTGTGGTGAGGGGGGGAGGGGGGACAATGATGCATACGTATGGTAAAGAATTCTTTTCCCTGTTACTGTGATAGAATTTGATTTATAACTTTGGTTTTAAAATCAGTATTAATTTCTGGATTGCAATAGGTTGAACCTTATTCATTTTAAGTAATAATAATAATTTTAGGTATATATGCATTGTTTGGAAATTAAATATTATTTTACTAGCTTGCCTGACATTCATGAGTAAAAGCCTGACTATGGTACCACAGTATGTCATTGGTAACTACATGTTGGAATATAATTATTAGCTGTGTTGTGATGTATGACGGTGGTGTGTGACAAAGCTCCATGTAGATGCCATAGTGTCAACCATGTCTGATCATCTTGGTGTTACAATGCTTGCTACAAATTAAGAAACTTTCAGTTATTTCACTTACTTTTAACAGTAATGTTCATGTTTAATAATAAAGAAATTAAGTTAAAATTCATGCTTTGTGTTTGTCAGGTTCAACCACCACCTGCAAAATCTCATTTTGTTTTGTCTTTGTCTTTTCTTTCCATTTATAGGACTGTTTGCTGCAGCCCATGATTTAAACCTTGAATGGGTGATTGTTAAAGGGATATCACATTTTTCTGATGATAGCAACACTCCTAATGAGTCCTGGAAGTCATTTGCTTCCATCATGGCAGCTTCTCTTGTGTCCAACATGTTAAATGATCCAGTTGTTTTTAAAGAGTGGCCTCACTATGAAGGTATATAACTTTTTTTTTCGTTTGTTTATTAAAAGTGAATTTTCTGCTGAGATATATTTATGTATTTGTGGGAAGAGGTTGCAGTTTAAGTGAAAAAGGTTACAAAATACATGGACTAGCTACCACAAACTTGTACTGACCTAATGTGCTATAATAATATTGAATTGATTGCCAGTCCCCCTGTAATTTCCTGTGTACATTAACAGTACTGCTCAGCAGTGTGTGAGACATCTAAAGTTTTCTCAGAACAGTCTTTGAAATTCCCTGATCCTAGTCCCAGAAAACTGCTAGAAAATAAAGAAAAAAAGATGCACCATGTTATTGACTGACAAGAAAGTAAAAAAAATTGTTTTATGGCTAAGCATTCTTGTAGAGAATAAAACAGTTCAACTCTTTAATGTTCTCTAATTTATTTTGCAGACTTGTCAGCTAACAAGGCGTCCCCCACTTTACCAGGTATGACTCTTCTAAGTAAAGTTACTTGGAATTCTAGCAAACTGAAGTATTTATCTGTTAATACTGTTGTCAACACAACCACTTCTTTTCACATTTGCACAGTCTGTAAAGTAGTAACAAATCTCCTATACTTTTGTAGAGAAGTAACGACCAGTATACTTCAAACCTCACACCTCTCTTCTGGCCCTTATTTAAACACAATTATTTTAACCTCCTCCTCATGTCTCTAATCTAACCCTCTTGACCACTCAAAGGAGTAATACATGTATATTACTCTATAGTGTAGATCCAGAAAATATCTCCCCCATGGAAAGGATTTGGTCTTGGAAGAGCTCACACCTGTCCCTCCTCTCCCTTGCAAATTCCAATTAGGATTCATACATGTACCTTTCTTTTTGTTTTATGGTCCTTGCTGAGGCTCCCTCCTTCCCCAGGATTTTCCAATCCCTTCCATGAGGGTATTAAAGATATTTTCTGGAGGTACACATTTGCAGACCACACCTCTAACAAGGAACATTGCAACATTGAAGTCTTGCATTGTCTTTTCGCCTGATTGTCTGGTTGTACTGACATCCATTTCACTAAATGCCTAAGTTTTGCTTGACCTTCAAAAGACCAAAACATCATTAATTACGTGTACCCTCATGTCTAAGTATGAGCGGTGAAAAAGGCTGCTCTTTAGGGTGGGGCATCCCACAATACAGAGAAGGATTCCCTCCCTCAGACTCTAGGGTTGCAAATTATTTCTATGTCATGCTTGCTAATGCTGCACAATGCCTATAAACAAAAATTGAAAAATTCTACTGCAAACTGACAAAGGTCTTTCAGGCTTTCATTGCTGAGAGAAAGCCACTCAAGGATCATAAAATCATCCCTTGACATCTCTGTAAATTCCCAGTCTTCAACACAACTGTCTTATGCATAGTAGTTCTTAACTGTGGGTCTTGTAAATTTCTTAGGTTATTTTGTTGTTAACAAAAATAATGTGTGCATAGATAATCGGTAGTGTTTTAAATCTTTCCCAGCATTTGTAAACGTTTGTCTGCTCTTCAAAGAGTAGTTATTTAGTGAAACTGTGGACTCTCATATTTTCTTATCTCAATTTTTTTTCCGTATTTGTTATGTGCCCCTGTCCAAGAGTTTTGTGTAAAACATTGTTTGATACTTAAAATTTCTTAATTGATCTTAATTCGTAAGGCAAAATCCTTGTTTTCAGATTCTGAATGCCTCGAAGAGTGCCAGAAGCAGTTGCGGTCTCTTTATCAAACCAAAAACAGAGTCAAAATCGTTCCTTGGAACCAAATAAACGCCGTTCACATTGATGAGATCTACACAGACTTGTCTTGGGTTATGGATCACAGGACACCCAAGGGAGTGACAAAAGAAGAACTTAACCACTACACTGNGTAGTTATTTAGTGAAACTGTGGACTCTCATATTTTCTTATCTCAATTTTTTTTCCGTATTTGTTATGTGCCCCTGTCCAAGAGTTTTGTGTAAAACATTGTTTGATACTTAAAATTTCTTAATTGATCTTAATTCGTAAGGCAAAATCCTTGTTTTCAGATTCTGAATGCCTCGAAGAGTGCCAGAAGCAGTTGCGGTCTCTTTATCAAACCAAAAACAGAGTCAAAATCGTTCCTTGGAACCAAATAAACGCCGTTCACATTGATGAGATCTACACAGACTTGTCTTGGGTTATGGATCACAGGACACCCAAGGGAGTGACAAAAGAAGAACTTAACCACTACACTGAGATTTTTGTCCACAGAGAGCCTCATCCTGCACCAAAGCGAATTTTGGTGTATGGACAGCCAGGTAATTAGTATAGTAAACTACCGGAGAGTAAAAATGTATGATAGCACTGTCAAAGCAAACAAACTTGTGGCTCTTACAAGACTGTATAACACAAAAAAAGAACAAGAACAAGAACACATTATTACCATTAGTGTCAGAGAAAATTGATGCACTAAACGTTAAGGTTGAGGAGGTTCAGAGACGTGCCACCAGATGGATTTTAAGTTTGAAGCCAGGCCAGATGCCTGATGGGGAGAAACTGCTTGCCTCGGATATGCTGCCTCTTGTTTACAATAGAGCAAAATCGAGGATCTCGTTTTCTTTTACAAAGCCTTTTACAGCTACATTGATATAGACATTACTAATAATATTACATAATTTATAACAATCATCCACGTACACTCTGTGGCCAGGCTGCAGGCTGTTATCATACTGTCCGGCCTGCAAGACCTGCACTTTACAAGCTTCATATTAATATTACTATTGTCTGTATTGTAAAACTGTGGAACAACATATGCAATGAAGCTTTGTTTTACTTCTCTTAGCTGTTTTAAATCATTTTGATGAATCTGTTTTGGTCTCTTTTAATGAATGTCTTTGATGATGGTCTGCTCATGGTCTACCTCTCATGTCCATGTCTATAACTGAATACATACGTATTTTTCATTTTTTAAATTACTGTTAGATTTCTCTACAGTCAGATGACAATTTTCTGCAATAAGATTTTTCTTTTACTACAACTAGATTTTATTTTATTTTTTTTGTATTACCGGTAGATTTCAAATTCTTATATTTCCCTATGGTGGGCACCCCACATGGGTCTAAGTGTCCCTTTCTGCCCTTTCTTTTTGGGCTTTAATTCTTTCTTTCCTTCTTCCTTTTTTAATCATGTTTGTATATTTCATTCTTTCTTGGTCTTACCCATTAAAGCTTGAAATAAATAAATTTAAATGAAGATCAGCTCGTCATTAACTGGCTTTTAATGTCTTCACGAAGTAATTATTGAGTGTCTTACCAACATCCTAAGTGAGTGAGTTTAAAATGGTAGCAAAAGGAACCGAAAGTTTGGACTTTCATTGCTCTAATACAGTAACTCAGAAGTGCAGAGTTTTCAGTTTTTTGCATGCAGTGGTTTCAATATTGTAGTAATGAACAATTTTTATCTTGCTAGAGTAATAAGAGTTTGTGCAGTGTCCAGTTATGGCTTTTTATCTGTTGTTCGATAAGGTCCTTGTTATTAATATTTTTATAATACTTCAGTGTTCAGAAGGATGAGAAAATAACGAATTGAGCCATGAGGATGAAATTTAACTTATCAGTTTTGTACAGAGACAGTATGCACACAACGACTGAATAAAAATGAGAGTGCTGTTCTTTTTAAGAAAGATGAGAATTTCAAACCGCGCCCGTAAAGGCGGATGGAAATTCTTTTGGCATTAAACTTCATTACAGCCAAATTAGTTGAACAGATACTAGCTGTAGTAATTTATTTATTGACACACTGAATGAAATAATTATTTAAAAATCCCTGTTGAAGTCCTTCAAAAACACCGAATAGAACATCATTTTAGAATAATTTTTAGATTCCGCCACAGCGAGCAAAGAAATGCTGAGAGTTTGTTTATTACCTCGTAGGTATTGGCAAAACCGTTTTCACACAGAAAGCTTCTTTCGACTGGTCTCAACACAGATCTCCAGAAAGGTTAGGAGCGTTTGATCTTTTCCTTCTT